TTTTTTTGTAATAGAGATTCTACTAAATTAATAGTTTCTTCTTCACTAATTGGTTGATGAGTATTTATTAAATTAATAGTTTCTTCTTTACTAATTGGTTGACGAGTATTTTCCTAATTAGCAAAAGCTGTTTGTTCTAAAGCACTATTGTAAATTTCTTCTAATGGAAGTGATTTATCATAATATTTAAGCTCTTTAGTCAAATTTGAAAGATATTATGAATAAATCTTTGCCATAGCTTCTAATCTTGTAGGTTATAGTTGAGTTCTTTTATCTTTATAAAACTATTTTAATATTGAAAATTATATTTACAAGAAGCCTGTAAAGGCATAATTAAAAAAATCATTTTTGCAACATTTTGTAAATGTGAATAGTTATTATTAATTATAGTTTACTATAATTTAGAAGTTTGATAACTATCATATGGAAAAACAAATAGTGGATCTTTTGCTTTATATCAACAAAGTTGATTCATTAATTCATTGCAATTTGCTTTATCATAAAATTGTTTTATATAAAGTTCTAATGCTAATTTACAAATATCTAAAAATTTTTCAGTTTTTAATCCAGTTCCACGGTATTTAGAATGCAAATAATAAGCTAATATATAGATATTTAAATTAAAATTTGTATATTGTTTGTTAATAATATTAATTGCAGACTTTTTAAATAAGTTATTAGTAGGCAATTTTTTAATTGTAACACATAGTTTTACAATATTAATAAAACAATTAGCTAAATTAACTGTTTGTGATTCTAATAAGGTTATTGTTTTTTTAATTAGATAAAATATCATAGCTATATGGTAACAAGTACTAAAAAAAGTTTCTTTCTCATCTTTTAATAGTTTATAAACTATAACATTAGTTATACTATTTTAATTTTCTTCTAAAATTTTGTCAAAAACAGGTTTAATTTGTACAATAAAATTAGTTGTATTGAATGCTGATACCCATTGTGTTTTAGTAAATAATTCTAAGTTTCCACCTCGAATATTCATATTATTTATTCTATCACAAAGTAATCTACTTGCAATATGAGATTTTTTAAAAAAATTTACAATTAAACTTGCATTTGCTAAAGTAGATTTAATTGTAAAAATCTTAACAAGATCACTTGAAATCAAATTAAACCAATGAGCAATGCATTGAATATTCATAACCTGTGAATAAGTATTATTAATTATCTACCTTGCTAATCGAATATTTGATCCATTATCTAATACTATGGCAGCAAATTTTGAAGATCCAACTTCTTCTATAATTAAGCTAATTTTATTCACAAGATAAATACCTGTTTGAGAATCTATTAAGTAATCTTGAATAGCAATAAGATATTTCTTGTACTCAGGTGTTGAAACAATATAATTATACAATGAATCATTAAGCAGATTTGTCTAGCCATCAAGAGCTAATGTCAAATTTTATTAATTTTCAAGAGATTTATTAAGACTAACTATAACAATTGCATGCTCCTTATCTAATAAATGATTTGCTAAAGTATCTTTATGTGGAGGAGTATAGCCAGGTCCTAACAATTTAAGTAAATTAATAAAAAAAGAATTATCAATTACTGCCCAAGATATACCACAACAAATAAAAATCTTTATTAAAGCCTGATTTATTTCTCTTCTACAATCTTCACTAATAGGTTCGACTAATTGAAGTAATTGTTCATGATTGTTCTTTGTTTTTCTTTTTTTTTGATTTGTATTAAGAGAAATATCATCCTCACTATTATTGGCTAATGAAAGTTTTTTACCTCTTTCAGCAACTTTGTGAAGATAAAAAGTAATAATATGATCAGGTGCTTTATCACAATGTAATGCTAGATGACTTTTCAATATTAATGGTTTTTCTTGTGACCAAGATTGATCACAATAGTAACAAGTAGTACCATAATGACCAAACCTATTTGGCATACTTTTTTTAAAATTTTCCCAAACAGGTAATGCTGGATGCTCTCCTTTTTTAGACATCTTTTTTTTAGATATCTTGTTTTGAAAATTTGTAGGCTGATTATCAGAAGTCTCAGTCGAATCCATTGATATTAATATACATATATGTAAAGTATGTAGAATAAAATCAAAAAATAACATAGAAAAAATCAAAACGTTTTTTATATCAATATTAAACTTTATTAAACCTTATTAAACTATTAACATGGGGTTTTTGCCTTGAAAATGACCCTACGAGACATTGTTACACAGGATTTTTATTAAGAAAAACATAGTAAATCTATTTTTAGAAAAAAAAATTCAAGGCAAAGACCCCACATAATCTAATTAGAATTCTATACTTATATTAGATTTTGCATATTATTTAAGATTTTGTAATTATATTATGTATTTAATATATACTTAAAATTTTGACATATACTTTAGGTTTGGCATACGTTTGGGAGTTTATTTGGGATTTGGGAGTTTATTTGGGATTTGGGTGCTTATTTGGGATTCGGCAAATATCCCAATCCGAATCCCAAAATGCCGTAATGCCGATATTTGCCGTAAATAGTTTGGGTCGCATCACTAGTTAGAATGTTTGACATTACGGCAAAATTAGAGATATTTTGCGAAACAAGTAAATACTATTTGGGATTCTACCAAATCCCAAACTAGTAGGTTTGGGTCGCAACCCTATTCTACAGTCTTGCTCTGGATCAGGACCGATGATTTTCTGATCGAGATCGTGCACAAGTGCTACGATTAATTTAAGTAATCCTTACATATTTTGCTAAAAATTCATGTTGAGAAATGCGGATATTAAATTTTTGCAATCAGCACAACTTTATGATAAAAAAGATGGTCAGAGACGATCTTTTTTTTTCATCGCGACACTTGACCGACTAAACTATTTTTCCACTAATTAAAAATCGAGTTCCGACCTATGAATTTAGGTGCTTGGGAAAACCCTAAGACTAGACTCTGCGTGTATTAAGATTAATTCTGTGATTTAATGTGATGTTTTTTAAATGTATTCTGTAAGATTCTGCGCTAAATTTGTGTGATTATGTGGTAGTATAAAACAATAAAACTCATTATTCCAATACCTCTGATAGTAGTATTCTACGATGACAAACAGATTCTGTGGTATTTAGAGATGGCTAAGATGAGTTTCGGCGATTAGCTGCTTTTAAAAAAAATTTTGTTATTTTCTGTGGTCGCAGTAACATTAACCATAGCTGCCGCAACAAAATTGTCACGGCAGATCCTCGATTTTGATTGGCTAACGTCCGAGGATCTTCAAATTTAGGCCCGCATTACATAACTGTTTACTAATTTCCTGCCGGAATTAACTTTTTTTATAAAATAAGCCCGCATTATGGTAAAATTGGCCCAGGAACAATTTTCACTTAGCCAATCAAAATCGAGAATCTGCCGTACCATTTTGTTGCGGCAGCTAGGGTTAATGCAGCAGGATATCTGAGAAATTAATTTGAACTTGTATCCGATTTGCCGCTTTCTTAATTCCTATTGGCCACTGGGAATTTCAGTTTCATTTTTTTACAGGAAGATCAAAAATTTATAGGTTGGAGCTAGGTGGAGTTAGCAATAGTAGTTTGCAGCAAAATATTAGCCAGCACTTTTTATTTAATGAATAAATTTATTTTTAGTGATATTGGGAAATTTGATCAAATTCTGGCCTACAAACCAAAATTTTGATACATCTTGACTTGGAATTTTGGGAACTATTCTATATGAATTGGTATTACTGAACCAACCTCTAACGCTAAATGCACTTAGTTTATTTACGCACGTACGTACAGTACGTACAAATTTTAATTTTCCTTTTTGGTCTGTGTTACTCGCGAAGAATAAGTAAATGATAAATTCCCTTCTCAATAAATACGATGTCCATAGGATTTAATATCACTTTTCCGAAATGAAATAATCATTCTTTCATCTTAATTTGATATATGAATTCGTGTGCCCCATGACAATACTGCGAATCATGTCTCTAAATTGCAAATTATTACATGTATAATAACGAATAATATTTTATTTATAATAATTCCGTATACAATATTTTTACGATTGTACAAAATATATGTGATTAGTAACTATTTCTAAATAGCACCTGTCCCTTTTAAACTGAAAGTAATTTATTGTTATTAATTCTGCTATAATGTTCAAGTTATTGTATTAATTGGTTGAACAACATTCTTTTAGAAAATAATGAAGAGTTTAAATAATCCATAATATAGCCGATAATAAATCAAATGCATAGCTTAACTTCTTCCATTAAGGCTTTCGCCAATAACGGAGGGACAGCGTTTCCTACTATTTACATAATCCCACGTGATAAATAAATATTTTAACTAAAATTTTCCTAAAAACATTAAATGAAAAACTTTTTGTATATATCTACCTTGACGATATTGAGCATTTAGATCACCAAGAAAAATATAATCATCTGGAAATGTCTGAAGTCTTGCTTGTTCTCTAACTGAAATATGCCTAAATTCTGTGGGATGGATATTATCCCATCCTGGACTAATTGTGCACAGCACCGTAGAAGGAATGGAATCCAATGTGAGCCGTTTTAAATGATATGGAGATCTCTTACAATACTCCATATTGGGTGATGTATTTGTTAAGCCTAAGAAAAATAAAATTAAAGGATAATTCGGAAAAATCAATTACCATAATGAAAAAATAAATTGAATGATTTTACGATACCTCGAAAAGCCTTCGAAACAGTTGGCGTTGGTAGCAATCCCTTTTTTAAGTAATTAGCTCGTTCTTGTTCTGTGCACTCTCCATCTATAAAATGTGTTTGTTCTGGCCACGATGGCATACGTATTCCCTTTTTCACCGCTATTAGAAAAAATCTTTCCCGGCGTTGACAAACTCCAAAATTGGTTGCTTTCAATATTCGTGTTTCTATTTTATAACTTAATATGAAACCAAATACAAATTAGTTTTTTTTCACTTATTTTTTGTAGTCGCTTAAATTTATTAACTCGACTGTGCCGTTCGCGATATATAAAAAGTTGGTTGATTGACTATTTCTAATTAACTTGAATAAGTAGACTTTTTAAAAATCGGTCAACTTAGTCGAATAAGTCGATTTTGTCTACTAACGTCAAATCAACTACAATTATGACAAAATTATATGAATACATACCCTATATCTTGTATATCGTTAATAAACATTTTAAACATTTCATCGCTTTTACTTTTATTGAAGAATCCTCGAACATTCTCAAAAACTAAAACTTTAGGTTTGAGTTTATCGACAACCAACGGAACTGTCAAAGTCAAGACCATATTACTGGTCATGTCAATTATGTTGCCGCGAGTATTTGCCATTGTATATCCTTGACACGGTGGCGCGGCCAACAAAACATCAACTTTATGGACATTGCGACTTATATGATTTTCGATGAAATCATATATGTCAAGAGTATATACCATAGCGTCTTCATGATTAAGTTTATACGTTTCGGTTGCGTTTCGTTCGTTGTCAAGACCCCATTTAACTCCAAAGCCAGCCATTTTTGCACCAAGTGACAAGCCTCCAGCACCACAAAATAAATCTCCAACGGTTGGAAGCTTATTTAATTTTACATTTTTTTTTTTCAGTATTAAGCAAAGTCTACTTGATTTCCAAGAGAACTGAAAAACCAAGACTCACGTGATCTGCGGCTTGCATTTTTAAGAGAGTCAGTATCAGGGTTTAGACTAAATTATTCGATTTTTATGTTAACACCATTATTATTATTTTTTCATTGAGATTATATTTATACGAAATTTTCGCTTTAGAAACTTTCGTAACAATTTAACAGACTACCGCTCGACAATAAGATAGACTCATCGTTTTGATACTATACCAGTGTTACAAAAAATTTGGTCACATAATTCGATGATCTGCATAACTTCATTATTACAATTAAATGATATAATCAAACATGAGAAAAATTAAATGAAATACAGTACGTGTTTAAAATTACATAAAGTACTGTACATACGTGAAGTATTTCTAGTATTTCTTGAGAGATTGAAAATAATAACAGTGGGTTTTTGATAATCATTTAATATAAATTGTCACGAGTATATGTTTGCAATATAGTAATCATTAATTTTTTTAATATAGTCACGTGATATTTGGCCCACCTATTCTATAGAACATCCATAATGATTTTTTTAAGCCAATTTCTATTTGTACACGGGTGTTTGTACACGAGGTATATAAAAAACCAACTGATATCTCGAATTTTTGATTACCAAGCCTTTTGGCTTCTAACAAAAAAAACTCTTCACGAAATTTTGGTATAAACTAACCCTCGCCCCAATCACAGATTTGTAAATTTATTAAAAATTAAAATTTTATTTTTTAAATATTTTAAAATTTAACTGTTAAGTGAAAAATTGGATTAGCTTATAAAAAATTTTTTTTACACGAAGCTAATTCCGAGAAAATGCATTTTGATAAATATATGTGTGTAAAATTTTGTGTCGAACAAGTTTACTTAAAAGACAAAGATAGCCTTAGTAAAAAAAAAAAATTTAAGTATATAGCAAACTTCTTTTTTTTACTAATACGTAGAATAAAGATCTATCATATTAAAAAATCTATTATTCTTGATACATTAATTAGATTGAAAATCTCGGATTCTTTATTATTATCGTTATTGGGTTTGGTAATTTAAGCTTTTTAATGTGTTACCAATTTATGTGTTATTTTTTATCTTTATATAGAAGTTTTTTGAATTTGCCATACTAGTATACTACTAGTATACGTATAACAGAATTGGTTAAAGGCTATGACCGGGTTATATGACCTAAGTCATGATAGTCATATGACCACTGGTCATAACGTTATGACCTTATGACTTTATGACCTTGGTCATATAACTATATGACCAAGGTCATATTAAAAATTTGATAAATAGAACTTCCGTTATGCTGTAGCAAATCGGGTTGATACTTTAATATGAACGAAGACAACGGAAACAATAACACTACGAGGGTGAAATTGTTGTATATGTAATAGTTTCCCACTTTATTCAAGTTTTAGTGATTACTGTATCAATACTGTTTATTTTAGGTAATAACGGTTTACCTTCGCATCTAAAAAAAGTTTATAGGAGTCTAAACAGAAGGTAGAAAGAAATATATAATCGTTTTAACACTAATGATATGAAAATTGCGCGGAACGAAGAAAATCAGTATGTTTACTTAGAATGTTTACTTAGGATGTTTATATATGTTGTAAAGATATCAATATTAACTAAAATTTAGTTTGGTCGTCGGTTTTTCTTTCCAATGAAACCTTATAGGAAATAGGAACAGAGCTAATAGGATTGGTCTTATACGCACTTATAACTGTTATCATCGTTATAATTTATGCATTGTTTTTCAAGGAAGAAAAATCTACAATGTACTTTGTCGTATTGCTGAACACCATTTATTATGTAGCAAAAATTATTATATTGGGAACAAATATGGAAAGAGTAGGGTTAATATAAGTCCGTTTTTACACAGTCATTCCAATAATTGTGTGGACTTCTTTGGCAGTATTGTTAGGCATTTTTATCATTTCACCTGCCGTAACTATTACTATTGCAAATATTGTTATAGAGGTGGCCAAACTTATTGTTAAATTTTATGGTTAAACTTTTACTGCATAATTGCTAAAATAGGATAGGGAAAAATGTAATTGGGGTATGCATTGAAAAAAAATAGTTTTCTTTTTTTCATTGCCGAAATCAATTTACGAATTACAAATATTGGCAATGGAAACGTTTTATACAGTTGCCCAAGAAAATATAACATATATTTTTTCCAATTCCAAATTTTTATAATCCTAAGATATCAGGTATGATGTGTTATTTTTAACATGATTTTTATATCAGAAGAAATATTAGAGCTTCGGATAATAAGTCTATGTTTACTGTGCCTATGAACTCGTGCAGTACTTATTTATTTTGTACTAATTATACGTATACCCACTTTTATTTTCTAATTTGTTCAGCGTAGAATTTTACATATAATTAATTACATTTTCAAAATTAAAAAATTTTTCTTTTCATAAAATTTGATTAAAAAAATTTACGAATTTTAAGTGTTCTGTTATTATCTTGACATTTTTGAAAAAAACCACACAGCACTATGTGGTAGTAACAAAAACGGATTTGGATTATATGTGTAGAAATATTATATCACTGGTTATATCCCATTGTAAAGATGTGTTGACACGTCTTTTACAATGGGATATTAATCCGGATCGAATACTATCTGATCGAGGGGTTCGAAATAGATTTAATTCGAATCTCGAATTCTGTTGTGAACACTAATTAAATTTTAAAAATTTTCAGGTGCTTTTGTTTTTGTTTTTCACTCTTTAGGGTTAAGTAGAGATCTCAAATTTTTGCTTCTCTTTAAACCGAACATCTTTCTAAACTGAACCTTGAAATTTAAATGTTTATTAATAAGTTAGGTTTAGACACTAAGTACGTTTTTAAACTGAACCTTTCTTCAGTCAGCCCGAGGTTTGGTATAGAGAGAGTTAACCGCATATATATACGTCCTAATCTATTATTAGCTTTACAAAATTTTAACTGAAACTATTGGACCATTAAAGCTGTATATCTATCTAAAATTAGCGAAGAATTATGATAGTACATAAATAAAAAATAAAGATCTATATAAAAATCTCATTGAGTTTTTATATGACCATAAATGAATTTGATTTACATAGTACTCCATACACTCACTGACGCGTGTAAGCGTAGTAGCTAAATTAAAAGTAGCGTAAAAGAAAAGGTGAATGGCAGAATATGAATGATAAAAGAAAAAACTTTTTATTGAGACAAGAAGTAGATGAATGTATTGAAATTTCTTATCAATTATGATAATGTCTCCTATTGCATTTAATGGAAAGAAAGAATTTGTGCAATAGAAAGGCATTTGAGTTAAATTAAATGTAACCAATTGTTATGAAAACTCTATTATTGGTAAGGAAAAACGAGAGATTAGATTGCATATAAAACTATACGCGTGTAAATGTATAGATTTTTAGATTCCTGAATCGTCATATAAACTTAATTTTGACTATTAGCAACAATACAAATAGGTGGTAAGAGTAAACTGATGCGTGCCTATCACTGTATTTTTAGTATCAATCTCTCTCTTGCTTTAGTCTAGAAATTATGTATTTGTTTGTATTAGTTTTGGTATTGTCTTGAACTATCATTGAGTTATTATGAGTTTTAGTATATTTCTGTCATCACCTTTGCATACATAAACCTTCCCATA